TACATGTACATGTGTCTTTATGGTAGCGTGATTTATATTCCTCTGGGTATACACCCAGTAATGGGATTGCTGGGTCCAATGGTAGTTCTGTTTTTAGCTATTTGAGGAATCACTATACTGCTTTTCACAATGGTCGAACTAATTTAAACTCCCACCAACAGTGTATAAATATTCCCTTTTCTCTGCAGCCTTGCCAGCATCCGATATTTTTTGACTTTTTAATATAGTCATTTTGACTGGTGTGAGATGGTATTTCACTGTGGTTTTGATTTGCATTTATTAATAATCAGTGATATTGAGCTTTTTTCCCATGCTTGTTGCCCACACGTATATCTTCTTTTTAAAGTGTCTGTTCATGTTCTATGCTCACGTTTTAATAGGGTTGCTTTTATTTCTTGAAAATTTCTCTAAGTTCCTTATAAATGCTGGATATCAGACTTTTGTCAGATGCATAGTTTGCAAATATTTTCTTCCATTCTGCGAGGTGTCTGTTTATTCTGTTGATAGTTTAATTTGCTGTGAAGAAGCTCTTAAGTTTAATTAGACCTCATTTGTCAATTTTTGCTTTTGTTGTGATTGCTTTGGTGTCTTTGTTTTGAAACATTTGCCTATTCCTATGTTAAAAGCTCTCAATAAACTAGTTAGTGAAGAAACATATCTCAAAATAATGAGAGCCACTTAGACAAACCCACAGTCAATATCATACAGAATGGGCAAAAGCTGAGACCATTCCCTTTGAAAACCAGCAAAAGACAAAGATGCCCTCTCCTACCACTCCTATTCATCATAATATTCAAAGTCCCAGCCAGAGCAATCCAGCAAGAAAAAGAAATAAAGGCATCCAAATACAAAGAGAGGAATTCAAAATAGTTCTGTTTGCAGAAAACATGATTCTATATTTAGAAAATCCCTTAGTTTTGGTCCAAAAGCTCCTTTGGCTGATAAACAATTTCAGCGAAGTTTAAGGATACAAAAATCAATGTACAAAAATCACTAGCATTCCTAAACACCAAAAACAGTCAAGTTGAGAGCCAAATCGAGAAGGCAATCCCATTCACAATTGCCACAGAAAGAATAAAATACCTAGAAATATAGCTAACAAGGGAAGTCAAAGATATCTACAATGACAATGACAAAACACTGCTTAAAGAAATCAGAGAAGACACCAACAAATGAAAAAGCATCCTATGCTCATGGACAGGAAGAATCAATATCATTAAAATGGTGATACTGTCCAAAGCAATTTATAGATTCAATGCTCTTATTATCAAACTAGTAATAACATTCTTCACAGAACTAGAAAAAACTATTTAAAAATTCATATGGAACGAAAAAGGAGCCCAAATAGCCAAGGCCATTTTAAGCAAAAAGAACAAAGCTGGAGGCATCACATTACCTGACTTCAAACTATACTACAGGGATAGAGTAACCAAGATAGCATGGTACTGGTACAAAAACAGGCACAGCAACCAATGAAACAGAATAGAGAGCCCAGAAATAAAGCTGCACATCTACAACCATCTGATCTTGGACAAAGCTGACAAAAACAAACAGTAAGGAAAAGATTCCATGTGTATATGTGCCATGGACATGGTAAAGTGGTATCAGAAGAAATAAAGAAAACGCATATTTGTGATGCTGAAATTATTTTTTAAACGATGAGATTTTAAGATACGGTTGCAACATAAGCTGTGTTTACATATATTCCATAAAGTTCTCAGTAGAATCTATTACATAGAAAATTCAAGCAAAAATGCCACACTTTCCCTTCAATCATATGAATATTTCTAACAATATGCTTTACTTGCTTTGAAATTTTAGGCAGTTACTGACCTTCACCTCTTTACAGTCCATTTGCAGTCTTCTATTTGCAGAAATATAAAAGTGAGAACAAAATTCAAAACTCACAGAAAAAATACAGTGGTGTAGAATGCCCACTTATACTAGCAGTATCTGTTATTGCTTCTAGTTTAAGTGCATTTCTACATTTAACACTAAAATGCTATGTTTTTGTACAAGTGGACACAACAGTAGCTGGTTCTGAAGAGAAGTTGGAAACTGTGAAAGATACATTTGGTTGAAGAAAGCAGCCTCCAGATTTAGAAAGACTGTTCCAAGCTACAGCATTCCTTGTCCAGGGTTTAGAGAATCTTCATGTATTCCCTAACACTGAACAGAAAGCTGACCAAAAATGAAAAGGCTAAGTGCAGTGAGAAAACATAAAGAAATACTAATATGGTTTGGCATTGTGTCCATACCCAAATCTCATCACAAATTATAATTTGTACGTGTCCAGGGAATGACCTGGTAGGAAGTAATTGGATCATGGGAGCAGTTTCCCTCATGCTGTTCTCTAGACAGTGAGTGAGTTCTCATGAGATCTGATGGTTTAAACGTGTGTGGTGGTTCCCCTCCCCAATTCTCTGGCTGCTATGTGAGATGTGTCTTGCTTCCCCTTCACCTTCTGCATGATTGTAAGTTTCCTGGGTTCTCCCCAGCCATATGGAACTGTGAGTCAATTAAACTTCTTTTCTTTAGTAATTACTCAGTCTCAGGTAGTTCTTTATAGCAGTATGAAAATGGACTAATGCCAATATCATGGGAATTCAGAAGAAAAAGAGGACTTTCAGTCAGAATGACCAGAATGCTTCATAAATAAGATGTATTATCAGCTTTACATCAGATAAATCAGATGTGGATAAATGAGAACAAAAATATCTTGGAGAAGGAAGCAGAGGTAGTGTGAGCAAAGGGATGTTTATCACAGTGGCGATCGTGTCAGTCTTATTCATCATTTTGAAGAAGCATTAAATGCTATACAGATTAGTTGCACTTTAGGAGATGTCAAAGAAAATAGCAGGTGACAGGGACAGAAATATCACCTGAAAGCAGAAGACTGATGGTCTTCAGAGTCACATGAAGGACGGTGAACTTTATTCAGTGGGCAGTGGGGATTTCTTGAAAGGTTTTGAGAAGTAGCACAAATAGAAAAATGCTTTAAAAAATAAACTGATCACCACAGATAAGATGAATTATAGTACAAAGAGAAAGTTGAGAGTCCAGAGCAGAATCCCTGTGAAATGAAATGAGTGTTTAAACCAAAGTGAATGTGATCTACATGGAGACAAGAAAATGAATGCAATAGTTTTAACACAGGTCGGTAAGAAATTAGCAATGACTCAGTGCAAATAATAAAAGAAAGAATAACAACAAGTTTGAGTGTGAAAGGTATGAATTTGCATTTAAAGACACATGCAATGAGAATGAAAAGATCTGATAATATGCATTTAATTTGCTCCGAGACAACCTAGTTGCCTTAATTATGACCAAGTATTAAATGTCTTACACATATTAGCTCACTTAGAACATACGACTGAGATCAGTAAGCATGGATTTGGGTGTAATCAACATAAGAGATATAGCTGAGGTCACAAGATTTACAAGAGAGAATTTTTTATACTAAGAAATGTCAGGCTTGACAGCAGGAGAAGAAAACATGAACTAAAGCAAATGCTAATGTTTAGTCACCTGAAAGTATATATACATGGAAAACAAAGTTGTTAAGAAAGTTTTCAGTGAGAATGGGAGTTTAGGGATATCAGTTTTGGAATGTGAATCATGAATGTTAATATGACCTGTAAGTCATCTGTAGTGAGCAGGCTATGGGGCCGGGATCATGGTGTAGATATCAGGATTGAAACTGTGACTCCTGAAATATAAGCCGGAAGGCAAATGCATACTTTTAAATTCATTTCCAACTGTTCCAGGTATATATCTTTTATTTCAGCTAGATCTTAACCTCCAGCAGGAAACAGAAATGATTTCTTAATATCTTCCAAAACTCACACAAGGCGAGGAACTCAGTTATGCCAACACATGTTTTTGATTGCATGTTTTAAGAACAAAACTAGACATTTTTTTCACCAATTAATTAAAACAAACATAGTGATCCCTATTGAGCATCAGTAAATATCCTAACAAGTTAAATGTCAACTTTAAAATAAAAACATTGCATTTATATCACTGATAATCTTGGTAAGCCTGTTAAATTAGAAACCGATCCCCCAGAAGATATATGTCATCAATATAATCAACAAAGGATTCATTATCAAAATATATGAGTAATTTCCACAAATTCAGCAAATACAGACAGCCTTATATAAAAATGAGCAAAAGACACGAACCAGCTAGTCACAAAAGACAATATCCAAATGGCCAATAAGAGACACAGTAGGAAGAGAAAAGGGGAGTCACTAATTATGTTACCATGAATACTGATGTAAACTGGAACTCTCCTGCAGACTGCCAACAAACATGAAAAGATTCTCAATTAGGGATAAGCAAAATGTCAACCAATGCCACAATGTAATGCCATTACCAGAATATCCAAAATTAGAAAAGAAATGATGCCAATTGTTGCCTATTGCATGTGGTAGAACTAAATCTCTTACACTGCTGGAGGAGAGCTAATTATTTACGATATGTTGGAAAACTTGGATATTATTTACCAAAGTAGATTATACATTTCCTATGGTTCACCAGTTCTAGTCTTACAAATGTGTCCAATTGAGGTGTGTGCTAATGGGAACCAAAGGACATGCACAAAAATTGTTCATAACAGCATTACTCATAACAATAAAAAACTGGGGAAAAGTTCGATATTCATCGCCAATACTATCAATAAATTTTGGGGGTCCCAGTGCAGTGGCCCATTCCTGTAATCCCAGTACTTTGGGAGGCTGTGGTAGGTGGATCACCTGAGGTCAGGAGTTCGAGACCAGCCTAGTCAACATGGTGAAACCCCGTCTCTACTGAAAATACAAAAAAAAAGATAGCTAGGTGTGGTAGTGGGCACCTGTAATCCCAGCTACTTGGGAGGCTAAGGAAGGAGAATCGCTTGAACCTAGGAGGCAGAAGTTGCAGTGAGCCAAGATCCCTCCACTGCACTCTAGCCTGGGCGACAAAAGCCAAAACTCTGTCTCAAAATAGATAGATGGATGGATGGATGGATGGATAGACAGATGGATAGATAGATAGATAGATAGATAGATAGATAGATAGATAGACAGACAGACAGATAGATAAATAGAATTTTTGGATATTCCACACAATAGAAATACTATTCAGAAAGGAAAACGAACAACTGCCATACATGATCCTCAAAAACATAATATTAAGAAAAAGCAGCCAGACTAAAAAGGAAGCACACTTTTTAAATTCCATACACATAAAGTTCTGAGTACCTCTAGTACCTTTCTCTAGCAATATTAGTCTGGTTCAGGAGGAACACATCAAGTGAGCATGCATACAGCTCCAGTAACCACACTGCACATTCAGCCCTTACCAAGTGCTGACAGACCACTCTGCATGTGGACAACCTGCCCCAAAGGAAGCATCAGCAAGAAGAAACCAATCCCAGAAGCTTGCTAACCTAGGAGATCCCAAGTCAAAAATCAAACCATGCACTTGATCTCTCAGGTCACCCACTTGGCCCACTTCCAGGGGTACTTTATTACCTTTGGCTCTTATTCTGATGCTGTTTAATAAACTTTCACTCCTGTTTTAAAACTTTCCTAGGTCTCTCCCTCTGGCTTACTCTTGTCAGTCAAATTCTTTCTTCTTAGAAGACAAGAATTGAGGTTGCTGCAGACCCATACAGATCTGCTGCCACTGATACAGGAGGTAGAAATAAATGATTTAGGATGCTAGTAGCTGCGCCAATAGAAAAGAGCTACTTGGGGGCCAGGTATGTCCATCACAGAGGCTCCATCTTCCCTTTTATTGTTACTATGTTTACAGTGGAAAAAAAAAAAAAAACAGAAAAAGAAAAATGGGCAATTCAACACCAGCCAGGTAGAAAAGTCATTTGCATAATAAAAGGTTATGGTGGGGACATCCAGCTTTTCATGCCCTATGCAAATGGTATACCTGGTCCAACCAATCTTTTGTGTCTTATGTAAATCAGACACCCCCACTTCAAGTTCATCTATAAAGACCCTTGCACTTCACTGCAGAACCAGCGACCTATTTCTCTGGGACCCTTCTCTGTAGCAAGAGAGCTTTTCTCTTTCTTTCACCTATTAAACTTCTGCTCCGAGCCTCACTCTGAATGTCTGTGGCCTAGTTTTCCAGGTCTGTGAGACAACGAATCTCAGATATTTACCACAGACAATAACGCCATTTCATTGTCGGGGCTGGTTGGGGATCCAAGGTAGATTCATCAGAAAGGTGAGTAAAGCAGTGGACCCTAAACCTTTACCTTCATTTTGAGGCCTTCTGCCCTCAACTTTAAAATTATAAACTAAAAACTGGGCAACTGATAGCAAATTAAAAAAAATCTTTAGGGTGGCCACCATTCTCAATACTAAGACAACAGAGAAAACTTAGTGAATCCCCCAGGGCCCTCAAAGTGCTGGGGAGGTTGACTCTGTTTTGACAGAGAGTCTAGATGTCATGTGGGTCTGGAAGAGGTCCAGAGGCAACTAATGCTTCCTTACCAGGACAACACCCCACTGTTACCCAAAGGCTTCTGGACTAACTCCACCCTCCCCGACTGCCTGATGGGCACCAGCAACAGGATCTTGGAGTCTTTCCTACTGTAATCTTCCTCCTTTCCTGTCCAAGACAACCATGTCTCTTCTCCACTGTGTGTGTGCAATGCTGCAGAAATTTTCAAAGCTCAGGGAAATAATCCTGTTAGGCAAGATTTGGAAACGCTCTGGTAACTGGGAATATAGATCAAGGGAGTGCCGTTTTTGTGATTTTCTAGAAACAGAGGGTCTCACCCACCCCACCCAGTGAACCTCTCTCTCTCTCTCTCTCTCTGCCCTTGGTCTGTAGAGCACATGGTATTTCAAGGTCAACAGCACCACCTAATGCAATTAGAATCCTCTCCATGAGACACCTTGTCAGTTCTTTGCTGAAACATTCTAGTTTCTGAATTCTTCTCACTTTTGCACCCTCTACTAGAGACCAGCCTTTATGCTTCTTCTGTGAATAGGAAAACTCAACAATGAGGAGGAAAATGTCCTCCAAAATGAAGTTTTAGCCCCAGTACTGTACCATGAGCAGGAAAACCACCTTTCATTCCTTACATTATTTTAAGGCACCTATTCTGCCTCCAATTAACGTGTTACTTAAATAGTAACATTTTATGTCTGAAAGTTAACCAGAATCACTGCCTAAAAATAAATACATTAGTCAAGGCCATAATAGCAAAATAAAGAGTTCAACTCAGTACACTGTCTCCATTAAAGGGGCCTTGCCCAAATACAACTATTACATACTATTTTCCAAGATCTATCTATTGAGGAGCCACACAGGTCACACAGGTTTACAAAGTCAAAAAAAAAAAAAAAAAAAATCACCAATGGAGAACCAAAGGTTACTAGACCCTTGTAAGCATTGCACAATCAACATAGCTCTTTTAATAGTCATATCAGGCAGGCCCAAAGGAATTAACTCCCCAACAGCAGCAAAACAAGTTCTGGGAAAAACACTGAAGGCAGTTAGTGTTCAGGCTCCTCATGGTCCCCCTTATTCACGGCCCCTTCCAAATGTAATGTCAGCCCCTCCAGCGTCATCACTCCTCATTCCACGGTCTGACACTTACCACTGTAGGAAATACCTAATGGAGATGATGTCACCAAGGTTCCAGTTCCCTTCTCATTGCAGAACCACAGGCAGATAAGGAGAATTCGGCTGGTTTTCGAATGACCCTGATAGGTATAAAGAAGCTTTCCAAAATTTAACTCAGGTGTTGGACCTCGCATGGAGGGATGTTATGCTGCTCCTCAGACAAACCCTAACTGCAGATGAAAAACAGGAAGATGTGCAGGCAGCTGAGAAGTTCAGAGACAAGCAATATGTGTCCTACAGTGTGACAAAAAAATAAAAATAAATAAATAAATAAAAATACAAGACAAAATAGGGAAAGAAAAGAAACAAGGGAAACTCCATTACCAAAGGAAGAGAGGCAGTACATCTTGACAACCCTGGTTGGAACTCCAATGACTCAACAGTTTAATAGAAATACTGGATACTTTTAATATTCAATATCAGACATTTTTGATATTGAAAGGCCTACAGAGAACTAGGGCCAAGCGTCTAAAATTAGTCCGTTTTAAAATTGCTGACAAAAACATACTGGAGAGAGAGCAATTTAAATGGAAAAAAGATTAACGGACTCACAGCTCCACAGGCTGGGGACACTTCACAATCATGAGAGAAGGCAAAAGGCATGTCTCACATAACGGATCAAAATGGGCAAGGTTTAGCAGCTCCATCATCTTTCTCTGAGAACACTCGACTGGTGAAGGTAAGTACATGCCTCAAGTAAGTACATGTAAGATTCTAGACATCACACTGTGTACGCCACACACCCCGCCCAAGGAGCTCGCTGGCTGCTGCACTGAACAGCCCTATCCCAGGGAAGGATCAGGGGAGAGGCGACGACGCCAACCCAGAAGCATGCCAACGAAGGAGAACCAAGTCAAAAATAATACCATGCACTCGATCTGTCAAGTCACTCACTATACCCTCTTCCAACTGTATCTTGCTTCCATTCCTTCCTGCTCCAAAGTGCTGAAGAAGCTATCATTCCTACTCTTAATCTAACTGTCCTGTTACGCCCTAGCAACAACTTCTCAGAAGCCTTTTGGAGCAGTCTGAACAGCTCTCTGGATAGAGCCTAGTACTGTGGCCCTTTAAAGACTGCACCTACTTGCTCGTTTCCAGTCATTGCCCCTCTGGGAAGAGGGAAGATTCTTCCTTCACCCAGGGCGAATTTCCACCCTTAACCAGAAGTGCTCCAGAGTTTACCACCTTATGTAAACAAGGCATTAAATGTAAACCTCTCATTTCCACTGTCCGCCATGATGTCCTCTCAGGTGTTCCTGCCGCCCACCAGGCAATCTCCTGAAGCACTCCTTCTGCTGTCCATGCAATGTTCTTAAGTCTTCCTTCTGCCCAGTGTGCAGTCTTCCTGGATGGCCCTTCTGTCGTATGTTCATGTCTGCCAAACACTGAATCGTCTCAGATATTCTTCTGCCAAATGTGCAATCCTGTCAGACATTCCAGTCACTCCAGGTAGCTGGACTGACATGAGCAGGGTATGAGAGGCTTCCCCCACCACCACCAGAAATGTCAGACAACCAGTAGATGATGGTCAGGCAGTTGTTGAAACGTTTCTTTGGAGGAAAACCGTTCGCAGCCTGCCAGTGCCAAAAAAGGGCAGCCTCCCAAAGGACAAAAGAGCTGGAAGCTGGACATCAGCAGCTTTCCGGTAAAATCCCAGGAATCACGTGCGTGGGCTCATGCAGGACACCTAACAGCCAGAACGGCTGGGTTTAGCAGCTCCATGGGTAAGAAAAGGGCACAAGCCTAAGACTCTAGGAACCGCACTGCGCGTGTGACACCCAAAACCCACGGGATGGCAGGCCACGGCACCAGTGGACAGACCCACCCGAAGGATGGATCAGGGGAGAGGCAAAAACACCACCCTGAAAGCCTGCCAACAAATGACACCACCTTGAGTCAAACCCTGCACTTGTTAACTCAGGTCTCGAAAGAGAAATGATCATTCTAAGCACATCACAGGAATCACGTGGCCTTCCCTAGTGACGGGTTTGCAATAGGCATGTGCTGTAACACAGCCCATATGACATTTCCGGAAGGTCACTGTGAGCTGCTGACTTGACTCCCTCTTCAAAAGACACCTGGGAAGAAGAGCAATGCATCCACACTTCAGATACTGCCTTCAGACAACACGCCAACTGCAGCTGTTGCTACGCAGTCCACCGGAAAAGCAGACATGAACTAAAAACTGCCTGCAGTATGGCTGGAAGGGAAAATGTGAGCGTGACATGACGATGCCAACACAGCTCTGGTGCCTATGGCTTCAGTCGCTCTTACTTGGGTCATCTACTATTTACAGCCAAAAGCATCCTGAGAATGTGGCCGTGGCCTGCAAAATATATCCTCTACCCCTCCTGCTCTGGACTGCTCAAAAATCTTCCCTAAAGCTCACTTTTTCTAGACATTCAAATCATGCCCAACCACATCAGTACCACACTCTTTCCAAGAGCAACAATGTGCGGTTCCTAAAACGAAACGACTTCATGTGAGTCTCTGACCTTTGGAACTTGACGTTCCTTCAGAAAACAGGGAATCTTCTACAGATGTTCCTTCTGCAAACTGCATGAGCTTCTAAGACGTTCTTTCTGCCACACATTCCACCTTATAAGATGTTTCAACGATGAAACGTTCAGTCTTCTCGCATGCCTACTCTGTCAAACCAGGGATCCAATCACATAGTTCTTCTGCAAAACATTCGACCTCATCAGAAGTGTCTTCCATCAACCATTCCATCCTGCCAGATGTTTCCATGTTACCATGGGTGGCTGGACACACAGAAGCAGTGCAGGAGAGGGCCTAGCCCACACCCCACCAGAGATGTCAGGTGACCAGGACATGACAGGTCAGGCCGCTGTTAAATTGCCATTCCAAAATAAGAAAAGATGGCTGGCAGGGGTCGCCAGGGATGGGCAGTCCCCACAACAGACAGAAATTCCAGAAGGTGGTGATGAGCAGCTCCCCAAGAAGATCTCAGGAGACGGGCAAGGGAGCTCACACACACCTCCTCACAGGCATACTGGCCAGGTTTTACTGCCCTATGACCCTCCCCAGGCAACATCTTACTGCCGAAAAAGGCACGCCTCAAGGGAGAGCACTTACAACTGCAGGAAAAACGTCATGCCTGTGGCCCCTCCCAGCTGTCAACAGGACACCGCCGATGTGGACAGCCCACCATGCACAAAGGGCGGCTCTTTTGGAGAGCACAGCAAGGCTTTCCGTGTCTTCCTCTCTTGCTTCCGCCCGCTTCCGCCAATAGTGTCCTTTTCTCTACTCACAGTCACGCCCTTCTCCAGATGTTTCCAGGCCTTCCAGGTCCTATCTGAAGGGTGAAATGTCCAGCCCCCTTGCGGCAGCTGGCTGAAAAACAGGCTCCTCATCTATTGTGAGAACCTGGGAAGTGGGAATCAGACAGCAGAGATCATCATTGTCTTGCTGGAATGCTCTCAGCCACAGTCACTCTCACGTCACGGAGACAAAGACAGAAGCTGGACCAAGGCTGCAGGTGCAACAGACCAATAGCACTGGGACCAAAGCTGATCCCAGGCTAATACACGGCTGTTAGAGCAGGGAGGAAGGCAAGACCAGGGGTACACAGTAACACTGGTTCATTCTGGGACCCTGGGGATGAACGGGGCTCCCCCAACCACGTTCACTCCAGCACCTCCTCTCTTCAGTGGGTGATCGTGATGAGATGGGACCAGGGTTGGCAGGGACATGGTAAGACCGAGACATCCCAGAGCAGTAAGGACGAACAGTGGATGCCCGATTCAGGATCCTGGGAAACTTAAGAGAGACCAAGCACGTTGGAGATAGTCCTTGTAAGCCGCCAGAAACATTTCCAAAACGGGAGATGGGAAAGAAACGCCATGCAGTTTGAAAGGTTGTTAGGTCTGTTAAATCCTTCCAGAATTGACGCTTTACCAGAGGCCAGCCAGGACCATTTGCTTAAGCGTCATCTCTGACTGCTTCCACGCTACTACGGGAGGCTTCAGCAGACATGACAGCCACCACGGGGCCTATGAGTGTTTCCCACCTGGCCCTTTACAGGAAGAGCAGGACAATCCCTGCATCACACCGTGATTGGAACGCCCTAATACTCACTGCTCATCTTCTGACTCCCCTGCTTAAAAGCTTCCTGTGAATCTCCGCAGGAAACCTGGCTGGCTCCCTATCCACAGCCTTTCTTCTTCCTCACTGGAGAAACGCAGGGTTATCAGGATCTTTATTGTTCCCTCAACCCACCCCAGCTCCCGAAGGAGGAATGACCATTCTAAGCTCATCACAGCAATCACATGGCCTTCCCCAGTGACTGGCTTAGCAGTGGGCATGTGCTGTAACCCAGCCCATACAATGTTACCAGAAGGTCACTGCGAGCTGCTGACTTGACTGCCTCTTCAAAAGACACCTGGGAAGAAGAGCAACCCCTTCATCCTTCAAATACTGCCTTCAGAGAACAGCCAACTACAGCTGTTGCTACTCGGCCCACCGGGAAAGCAGACATGAACTAAACACTGACCACAGCACACTGGAAGGGAAAATGTGAGCATGACATGATGATGCCAACACAGCTCTGGTGCCTACGGCTTCAGTTGCTCTTACTTGGGTCATCTACTATTTATAGCCAAGAGCATCCTGAGAATGTGGCCATGGCCCACAAAATATATCCTCTACCCCTCCTGCTCTGGACTGTTCAAAAATCTACCCTCAGCTCGCCTTTTCTAGACATTCAAACCACGCCCCAGCACTTCTGTACCACACTTGCACCAGCAACACTGAGCTGCTCCTGAACCTGACAGAGTTCACGCAAGCCTCTGACTTTTGGAACTTGACGTTCCTTTGGGCAAAGAGGCAATCTTCTACCGATGCTCCTTCTGCGAATCGTGCAAGCTTCTCAGACGTTCTCTCTGCCACACCTGTTCTCTCTGTTCCACCCTGCCAGATGTCTCTTCGGCCAAAACGTTCTGTCCTCTCACATGTCTCCTCTGCCAAACTGGGGATCCGGTCACATGGCTCTTCTGCAAAACATTTGATGTCATCAGACATTTCTTCCGCCAACCATTCCATCCTGCCAGATGTTTCTGTGTTACCGTGGGTGGCTGGTCAGACAGGAGCAGCGCAGGAGAGGGCCCCACCCACACCCCACCAGACATGTCAGGTGACCAGGAGGTGACGACGGGTCAGGCCGCAGTTTTGTTGACATAAAAATCTAGCTAGTTTTCTCCACAAGGCAGGCATTTCATTTATAAATATAATTTATCTTTTCCTACTTGCATAAAGTCTCATGTTATAAATTCTTACATATATTTGGGTGTTTCTGGGTTTTCTATTCTCCTGTATTCATTTACCTGTCTCTTCAGCTGTTAGCAAACTATTAGTGAAAATTGATAGCATCTTTTGATATGTAGAAAGGCAAGACTAAAATTTTAACTCCATTACAAAAATTTTCTTAATGCTATCACAATACTACAAGCATGTGTATTTCAAAAATGTTAACTTTGATAACTTTATGTATGTAAAATTGAGAGAGAAAACTGAGTCGTCTTATTCAAGAACATGAACCATCTTCCCACTTCCAAGTTGCCTTCTAAGGTCCCTCTGCAAAGAACATATTTACATGGGAATTCACTGATATAAAATATTGGATTTTACCCAAAATATTCTTAGTCCAGAAGGCGATATATTATGGAAAGTATTTATTTCATTATGCTTCTTTCTATAATATATCTAACATATTTTAAACTGTATACATCAAAAATAAAACACTGTACATACTTAATTTTGATAATTAAATCACTTTAAAACTCCCTCTAAAGTGCTCTGTAAGAGGAACTGTGAGTGAGTCAGAAACCAGCTAAAGTTTTGGGTTTATTTTGCTGCTCGTAAAGATGGCCTGGGCACTCCACCTCCAAAGCGTCCACATCCCAGGCACTGCGCAGCCCGTCTGGGAAAAACGCCCAGCATCCTCGGCACCAGGACGGCCCGCCCCGCACACCCATTCTTTCCATGCATCCCCTCGCCCCCACTCCCCAAGCCCCCAACTCTGAAGGGAGTGCTTCTCCCCACCCGCGCACCTCCTCCCGCAGCCCGCAGCCTGCAGTTCCGTTCTTGTAGGTTTCAGACGGGTCCTTTACTCTTGGGCAGAAGGCTCCGCTGCAGCTTCCACACATTCGTTCCCCTGGACGCAGCTTTGTGGATCCTCCCGAGAACCTCATCTGGGGCCTGGTACCAGGCGTCAGTAAAGATACAGTTACTCAAGTTGCTCAGGGGCACCCGGCCCTTCTGGCTCTCCACTGCCACTATCTTTGTGGCCCCGCTACCAGCTTCCGAGACGCCACAACTTGCCCTGGCCCGTCCCCCTGCCCAACCCCCACCCGGCCCCACACGGCCCAGCACCAGAGAGCAAGGTGGGCTGGCCCCGACCTCAGACAGGCACACTCCAATCTCTCTGACAGGGCATCTCCAACCTCTGAGAAAACTCGAAGCAGAGCCGTTAGGTGTCAGTGTGCATGACTACCTCAACCAGCGGGCGCCTGGTGCCCCTGTGCAAGGCGAGAATCTGCGCATGGCGGAAAAAGCGCCCCTGGGCCACTTTCTCGCCGCACCACGTGCAGGTGGCGGCTGCCGCAGAGCGGCCTGTGGACTGGCGGGGCTACCCAGAACGCAGCTCTGGATCAGGCCTCCCCCGGGGCCCGCTTGACTGCACCACTCCCTTCTTCCTCCTGGACAAGTGCCCAAAGCAAGGGGTCCTGGCGCTGGGCACTGTGCAGCCACTGGGATGGGGCTGAGCACCGGCTCCCGCCCTCCTACAGCTGCTAGGCTGACCTCCTGAATAAGGTGTCCGGCAGTATCTGGCCAGGGGTTCATGCTCCTGGTGGCGGGCAGGGTCGGGGGTTGCCACAGCTGCTCATGCAGGCCACATGCAACCAAGTGTCTAAAGTTATCACTGTTTCCCAAAAGATAAATAAACTGATATTTAGGGTCAACATGGAATACTAAGGATGGTTGAGACATAGTCATCTTAAGCAAGGTTTCTTTCCTTAATCGCATAAAATCAATCACTAAGGCTACCCCACGTAAGACAGTTTGAATCCAATCTTTTTTCGTGTTCTAGTCCACTGTTCAATTTTATCATCAATAAAGCAGACTTTTGAGGAAAACATCACAATATGCCCCAATATGTTAAATATGTTACTGGAATTCTACTTAACATCAAATATGAAATACTCTGTTTCCAACTGTTTTATTCTACTAAATACACAGTCAGTGGCTGATACATAGTCTAGGTTTTACTGCTTTCCATGTTAGTTGCTCCCTCCCAGATCCCTCCCACCCCTACCTCAGCTTTTGGTATGTCCCTCTTTTGTAACAGTAATCATGTGTTGCAGGAATCATTGTCTTAATGTTCTCAACTGTGCGTTTCAAAGAATAAGGGCCCCATCTCCTTTGAGTTTCTGGAAATACTGTGGCACACAGTAAGTATTTGTTCAAATCGATGGGCAGCAAAGCCACGTGATGGTATGTTTAAAATCACTTTAAAATTACAGTTTAAAATTACAGTTATGTGATAACTTTAGACACTTGGTTGCATGTGGCCTGCATGAGCAGCTGTGGCAACCCCCAACCCTGCCCGCCACCAGGAGCATGAACCCCTGTTTAAAATTACAGTTCTTACAATATAATCCCATATACAGCTTGGCAACCCATTAGATTTATGCAGTTTTACTGCATATACTTCCATCTTTTACATGTTTTCTTTGGGTCATTTACGTCATTAAAAATTACTTTCAAGTTATAAAGAAAGTATTTCAGTTTAACTTCCCAAGGTTAATAGGTGTCCACTCTTCCCATTTTAACCATCCCATGTTTCTGCTGTTTATATTTGAATAATGGCAGTTATCTCGTGCTGTGTTCCAAAAATATGAGACTATTTTTTTGGAACTCAAAACAAATGTTTCCCATAGAAAAGTTAGAAAGCAAGGAACAAAATACACAAAGGTCACCTGTGTTCCCACACCCATCCACAAAAGCTTATTTAACACACTCCAATATCAGAGAACCCGGCCACACTGTGCTATCTTCTCTAGAAAAACATGTCTTATTCCAACTGGGTATGTCTGAAACACATTTCTCTTCCGTCTCCTCTTCCACAACCTAAGTGGTGAGGCTCCCTACATTCAGCCCTTTCCTCTTTCCAGTCCTGTGCTGCTTCTCTAGGAACAGAAACTGAAGTATAGTCCGGCAAGAGATATTCCAGGTACAAGGATCAGAGAGAAGACATTGTTCCGGGGCATACAAAAAAAACCCAAGAGAATTTATAGTGCTACAAGTGGCTGTTCACAAGATCCCCATGGCACAGGCCCTGAGGTGCACCCAGCGTTCTAAGGGAGACAGAGGCTATAGCTTGGAGGCAGGAGCTCTAGGAGGCTCCTTGGACAGGGTGTGTCCTCATGCAGAAGTACATCATCACTCATTCATTCACCAGTAAACACTGAGAACATACAATCTCTTAGTACTGACTATATTCAGAAAATAAAATAGGCACATAGAATTTGCAGTCAATGGTGGCAGAACACATTACTCAAGTAACTCAAACATTTATCATTAAAAACTGAGATAAATTCACAGAAGGAAAGGAAAACAATTTCATGAGAGTGTGTGTAAATCATTTGTCCTAGCTTGAGAGATCAAAGCAAGATTCACTAAGGATGTAGTCCTTAAGGTGAAATCTGAAAGATCGGGAAGACAGCAGGGATGGAGAAGAAAGGAGAACACTCTAGGCAGAGGGAACAGGGTGAAAAACACCTGTGGAAAAGAAGAGACAATATTTTCCAGAGGGGAAGAAAGAACAGTTATGGAGAACAAGGCAAAGCGGGTGGTAGAGGGTAAACAAAAACAGCCTGTCTCATAAACTCATTCTTCACAAGTATTCAGTGAGAAGCTACCATGTGCCAGGCACTCTGTGAGACCCTTGGGATGGAGCAGTACCCAAGACAGGCAGGACCATCCCTCCCACAGCACTCACAGTGCATGGGAAGGACAGACCAAAAAGTAAACAAGCAAGATAATGTCAAACAACGATGTGTGCATGTGACTGCCACCAGTGAGCTGAATTTCTATGTGAGCGAAGTCCATGCACACAGATTATATCTACCCATGGAGCCTTATTTAAATGTTGCTGGCTGTGGCACACATCAAGATGCATGCAGGAATCATTCCCAAAGGCAGATCATACATTTTTTATAGGCAAGGCACACCTGTGCCCATTTTTAAGACATATATACTAAATAATAGCCAGATAAAAAAAGAATTTAGCCCTATGTCAATATCCCTTAGTACATGAAACATATTTGATGCATTTGTTTCTCATTTGACAGCACAGGGGAACTATCACCCGAACAATATACTTCAGCCAAAGGAGAAGGAAGGGCTGGGAAAGCGTGCCTTGAGATGTGTCACTCTGCCCCCACCAGCTCACATGCTTGCATGTTCTTTCTCTCTCTCTCTCTCTCTCTCTCTCTCTCACACACACACACACACACACACAAACTGCCCCCTCTAATCAGGCTATTCATTAAGCTGCTAGTGCTTCCACACCATGCTCTTTCATGCCTCCATGCCTTTGCCTGTGCTGTCCACCCTGCAGTAAAAACCTCCCATGTTACCTCTTCAGCTCCTTGGGGTCCTTGTATCTAATTCACGCATGACATCCCGCAGGAAGCTGTTCCCTGAGTTGCTTGCTGCTAGTTGGGTTAGTTATTCTTACGAACTCTCTCCTACCAGACCTCTTAGCACACAGTATTAAAATGTGTGTTCACATGCCTCCCACCACACAGAACTCCTCAGGGAGAAGCTGCTGGACAGTGCCTAGGACATAAGAGAGGGGTGTGAAGTTGGTCTAATAAATAAGATGAATAAATGAATGAACCAATAAACAAATGGCCTGATTTCACAATTCACAGCCGTTACTGGAATTCTGTCTACCACAAAAGAGTGAAGAGATATTTCTATAAATTGAGACTGGTGTTCATTCATCTCAGGGATTTAACCCCAATTCTGTCTTTTCCCACTCTGACACACTCTACTTGTCCCCCACACCCACATCCTGTGCCTGAGGAACACACTCCACAGCTGAATCCAATAGAGGCCTGAAGCTCCAGCAAAGTGGCCCTCAAGTAAATCCTGCTGCTCACTCCCCCTGGCCTGGAGTCAGATATCCTGTGAGTGCTGAAGCCAAAGAAAATGGAAGGACAGAGTCAGACGGCATCAACCACAGTGGGGAGCACAGGTGAAAGATGTCTTGTGAAAGAGGGATGAAGGGAGGGAGGCTCTAGGACAAGGTGATCAGGGCTGGGGTACAGCTTCAGGATGTATGCTGAAGCAAGCAAGCTTATGCCAGGCTGCAGTGACAGAGAGACAGGCAAAAAACGCTCTTAGACCCTCTGCACCACACAAGTCCTAGGAAAAAGGCTCTGGTGGCTGCTTTTCAGAGGCCACTATCCTCTGGGGAATCCTGAGGCCAGAAAAGAAACATGGCTAATCATTTCCCCGAGTAATCTTAAAACACATACATACACACAATAAACTTTGGAAACAGTTCTAAAACACAGCATGTTCTCAAAATCAAGAGAAAGAAACTCACTTGTACTTCCTCATCCTACCTCTCAAGAAAGATTCTCTGTGTCTGCTGATATCTTTAATTCCTTTAACAGCAATAGTTTTTCATTTCATAAAAAGAAATAAAGGGCAAACCGCCTGTGACACATAGTGTGAATAAATTTCAGCCAAATTAAATTAGATTACTTAAAACAACATGCTTAGAGTAGAGCAGATACAGGTTCAAATCCAGTTTCCCCTGTTTCCTAACTATATCACTGGACCCCGGCCTTTTTGGCACCAGGGACCAGTTTCGTGGAAGATTATTTTTCTTCACTGTTGCGGGGGATGGTTTTGGGATGATTCAAGCACATTACATTTATTGTGCACTTTGTTATTATTACATTGTAATATGTAATGAAATTATACAACTCACCATAATGTAGAATCAATGGGAGGCATCAGCTTCTTTCCCTGCAACTAGACAGTCCCATCTGGGGGTGATGGGAGATAGTGACAGATCATCAGTCATTAGAGTCTCATAAGAAGCACACAACCTAGATCCCTTGTGTGAACCACAAGCATGCTCACAACAAGGTTCATGCTCCTGTGAGAATCTAATGCCA